AGGACAATTTGGAGAATTTATTTTATTTACTTATTTATTCATTCATTTATTGGTTTACTTATTTATTTATTTATTTATTTTTTGGCACCTGACATTATAATACAATAAAATAATTTCAATGCAAGGAAAAGATCAGAGGCATTCCGAATATATCGTTCATCTTGCGTTCACCGTTCGTTCACCGTTCACTTTGCGTTCGCGTTTGCGCTCCGTTCGCGTTCTGCGTTCGCTCACCGTTCACCGTTCACACATCGTTCACCAAGTTGCGTTCAGCGTTCACACATCGTTCACTGACCGTTCGCTCTGCGTTCGTTCAGCGTTCGTTCACCGTTCGTTCAGCGTTCGCTCACCGTTCAAGTGGGAAAGTAGAACGTTTCAGGGACTGTGTTACCAGGAAAATCAACTCGCATCAGGTTTCATTTTCATTTGTATAATAATGATGAGAGAAATGTTACAAATGATGCAATGATGCAATACGTAAGAGATCACCAGATCGGTTAATGATTATCTTATCAGTTGTAGTAATTGTCAGATACAGAAAAAAACATGTTTAGTATCAGAGACTTTAATGGATGGTATTAAAATGATTTGATCCTAGAAAGATTCCACTTTAAAAATATATCATGCATCAACGCAAGAAATCTTTAGAAAGAAGGGTTTGAACGTTATTCTGTTTATTTTGTATACAAAAAGTGCGAACGCAGAAGGAAGGTTTGAAAATCTTTTTGTATGCACACATTGTATCTGGCTTATGAAGAATTTATTATGCATACTGTATACAAGGAAATTTTCGCCCGTTTATTTTCGCCCCTTTCGCCCTAGACACAGGTGGGCGAATTTAAAACTGGGCGAATTCAAAGTACACAGTATAATTTCTTAAACAGAACTGTGAGTGGGGGAATTTAAAACGGGGGCAAAATTGTTCGCAAGTGCGAAAGGGCAAAAATAACACGGGGCGAAAATAATCCTGTTTACAGTATATACACTGTATATTGAAATGGTCCATTTTTCTGTTTGCGCTCTTGTGACACACTTAATTACTAACAGCATTAGATGCATATAATTGAAATAAATTTGATTTATCCAATTTTAATAACAACAAGATATATGTTTTGGAGGAAAGGTGAAAGTGTAAGTATACTATTCTTTGTATGTAAACCTTATTGTATAGGTGAGCCACATTACAACTCCTTGTATTCTTAATCTTATTATGTTCACGTTTCATCATTATATTCATCAATAACAGAACACTGAAAAGCAAAATGCACAACATAAAAAATATAAATGTTGGAATTTGACATGTAGAAAGGGGTAAAGAATAACTTTGAAACTGATTTTTAATGGAAATTATGTTGATGTACATCTATGATAGTTAAGAACATTTGCACACAGTGTTTCTGACAATATGGATCCTTTTCAGACTGGATATTTGGAGTGGTATCCAAGAGATAAAAGTTATCCATTTAGAAAAGTTACCACGATTAGACGACTTTCACGTTCATAAGAATTATCTCTCTTTGTCAGCATGATCATTTTTCTCATTATATCTTTTGAAACTTACCTGTAAATATTATAAACCTTAAGATGCTTTCGGACTATTATATACCGTTCCTGTATTGCCATAGTATGGGGCATCAAAGAAATTATAATAAATGTATAAATGCAGATTTAATTTGTAAGAGACTGCCCCGTAAAAATTAGTAATATTTTAGAGGGAAAAACAATGGCCATGTGTTACACCGGTTGACCCCATATTGATCCCTCAAAGGGAAAACAAACTTTTGTAAATGTAAAAGTTCTCTATTTAATATCAAAAGAATGGCAAAAGATTTTAATTGATCACTTTTTTTATTATTAAGTAGGGATGGCAATCGAAAGCTAATCGGTTAACCGCAAGACGTTCCGACCGATTAACCGGTTTACCGTATCAAAATATGCATTTAATTTTTCTTGATATACTTTTTCCCCTAAGTATCTCTATTTATATACACAAGAAAACTAATAAAGTCGCTAGAAGTTAAATCATTCTATTTGTCTTCTTTCTTGATAAGAAAACTACATGCATATACATGTATATATTTTAGTTCAGTTTTCACAGAACAAGAAAAAAAATAAGGAAAACCACGAATCATGTCTGAGAAATCAAATATATCCAGAGCAGATGTCACATAAGTTCATTCTGCATTGTCACCATAATTAAAATTAAGTCTGAACTACACCACTGAAATCAATTTACAATGTTTGTTTAGTTATTTATTCGATGGACAACTGCAAAAGACAAACATACTAATTTGCAGCGTTCAACGGTGATTTAATATCATTAAAGAATTGCATGACAGGTGTTTTAACAGTGATTAACATCTCAACCATTAAATGACCAATTACCCCACAATCTCCATCCAGAGAAACATAATTACATCCAAGTCAGCTTGGATATGTGAGAACGCTGAATTATCAACGTTAATGTAGATATTTCTTTTTTTCTGAAAGTGATTTATAAGAAAATTGCGTTTAAATTTACATGTATTTTATTTTTTCCGATTAACCGATTACATATTCTCTAACCGATTGCCATCGTTCCGACCGAGTAATCGGTTAACCGGTTACAAATTGCCATCCCTATTAAGAAGACATGTAACAAAAGAAAACAAAAAAGGAATTTGACAGAATGGGAATGAATCATTTTTGGATTACCTACACTGTACCTTTAACATTCTTATTTGTGTTATAGCCAGTATTTTATTGTAAATATGTGTTCAATTCATTTCAGGTTAAAACTAGTTATTATAAATAAAATTATTATGATAGAATGTTTTGCGTTTTTGTTATTAATAAGTTTTATAAGAATTACATTTATTTAGAGAATATGCTGTTTATATCACAGACGACCTGGGACTGTATGACCTTAGTATTTTTAAAGCTTCTCTTGCTTTATGTTGTTTGTGTTGAAGATGTTTAAGCTGCAACAGTTTGTCTACAGTGTTAAGAGTTCTAGTTTTAAATCCTGTTGTATGACCTGTTGGCTCTTGGTGCCAAATTGTAAAATAACAAGCACTAAGAAGAAACATCTTGCCAATGTTGAAGAAAATTCCGGAATAAATACCTACAAAACACCTTGGATTGTGTTGCATCAGTGTACAGGCGCAATCTGTAGCTAGAGGTATATTTTTCATGTAGATGCATGAATTTTAAGGCAATCTTCTCAGACGTCGTTGTGGAATTGTATCCGCCCATTTCATTGTCTGTCAACAAATATTTTGACTGCAACAGATGGAAATGACGTAAGCTGCATATTTCCAATCTTGCCATTTAATGTTCTGCGGACGTATAAACCAGTGAATTCAAAATAAAGACACCATAGAGTTTACCACATCTGATTCATACTACTTTTTACTGACTATAGACGTTCCTGGTCAAATAATAACTATAATAACTTATAATAATAATATGATAAACGGGACGACTTCATCTTTTCCATCGTCAACTTCACATATTTATGAAGTAACAGTCCTGCATATGCTGTTTATGTCTTCAGTTGATTCAAAATGCAAGAGGAAGTGAGTTAAGGGTATGTTTACATGTAGGTGTTTCTATGCAATTAAACTGAAAACAAAAGCGCAAGAGAGGTATATCTATTACGCAAAGTTTTAATTCATTTTCCTATTCATACTTAATTCCCATTACATGTTAAAACCAGTACACATTATGACGTCACAACATGACTTCATTGTTTTTTTTTTTTTTGGAAACCATCTTTCTTGTGATAGCAAAATTACGATGATGTAATAAATTCTAGTTTTCTATTTCTATATTGTTTTCATATCAATCCTCGTGTTTCAGATTGCAGAAAGCGCGCATTCAAAGACGCCGACATTTTTTTAAATTACTTTTATCATTAACTTCACTGTCCTCGTGTTTATTTGAAGAAAAAGAGGGGGTTACTCCTGAACTGGATATTTAAATCCCGCTTAATATTTGTCACATCTTTATTTTACGGAATTTTATAGGCCTATTATAATTTTTATTTTAAGCTTAATAAATTACTTTATTCTTTGTTGTAAATTACAGAATTTCACATGGAATGAACAACCAAATTTTCGATTGTACACCAATATCATTATGTATCTTAAATGAAATAAAAAAAATAAAGACTCTCGAATCCTTTAGGCACGATCGAATCATATATGTATTAGGAATAAGTTTTGTTCCTAACTATTAATTTAAAATATTAAGTTATCATAGTTGGAGGGGGGATTTTGAGTTCTATGGGGTATTCATCCTACGATAAACATGATAAAAAGCTCTTGTTTTCCGTTGCTGCGCCTAATTGACTAGTTCAAACAGAGTCGACTGTATTATAGAATCAGATAGCTCATCTGAAAACATATACACATTTATATCCATAATACGGTAAAGTTACACTAGGTATAATGCATTATTTACATCAATGGGTCCAAGAGACGTCATAAAACCATAAAAACAAGAACGATAAGCGGGTAACAAATTTATCAAATGCACAAGTTTACGCCTTCATTTCTTGTTTAAGCAGTTTTTTTAAAATTATATTTTTAATTTTTTTTACTTAACGTATTTGACATTCTTTCATACCAGTCTTTATGTTTGAAAGTAAAATCCTAGTATTAAGTACCGTTTCGTAAAGGTATTATCACAAGGAATGCACTTGTGACATATAAAAGCCCTAGCACGTACCAACCGTTCAAAAGATTAAGTTTTTCAGAAGTACATTACGTCAAACTCCAACGTCAAGGTCATGAGGTCAAAAAAGTTGGTACCCAAAGAAAGACCTTGTCACAAGGAATACACATGTGAAATATACAAGCTCTGGCCCTACAGAATGTTCAACGGGTAAATTTAAAGTTTTAATGGACAAACAGTCAGACAGAGGAACAGACCAAAAACTATGAGTATATGCCCCCGAATCTATGATTACCAGGGCATGAAATTATTCAGGAAGAATAGCACCATATATAATTGAGGCATATTTTTATTTCTGAATGATTAATGGACAAGACATATTTAACTAAGCGTATGTATCACATTTCGCGTTTACAGAGGAACAGGGCAGAGTTTTCATTTTCCCATTTATTTAGAATACGTAAATGTGCTTTGGCAAACAGATATTCCAGTTGATTACTTGTGTATTTGTGACTCATTCCACTTCCCCCATGAAGTATCAATTTTTCGCCTTCTTCCAATGTCATCGTTATTCCCAGCTTATCTGAAACTAGAATGAAATACATGAATTATTATCATAGAATTAATAAAGATTGCCATATGATATCTTGAAAGAAACACAGCATTTATTTATCAAAACTTTGAATTACGTCATCACTGTAATTACTAATCAATAATTTAAAGGTACTCTAGTCATACAATGTATGTTTAGAGTGTGATAAATATAGAAATCATTTTATACCTATATTATATGACTGTTTACAAAGAGAACGCAGCCAAACTTTTACGTAGCTCGCGCTCGAAACGTCTTTGTCTTCAACATATTCTCCCTCCAGTTTAAATTGTGATATATCAATATTTGCTTCAAACTCTCTATTCAACACATGTATACCATTTGTGTACAATTTTGCATTCGGTCTTTGCTTTGAAAATAAGGAAAGAACAACAAAAATGTAGAAATAAATTGTTTAATAAATCCAACCAACAGTAACTTATTTAGACAAAAGAAAAAATGCATTCAGTAGTATTTACTAATTGTTTGATATTTACTATATAGATGTACTAAGCTTCACCGGAATCTTTGATTTACTATGAAATAGTTAGATCAAATTAAGTAGAATTTTATAAGTTAAGATGGGCGGAAGGAGGGAAGAGAAGTAAGAACACAGCCCGCTTTTCATTGGCTGATCCAAAGTTCTGCGCCAATCACACGTTTCCTCTCTCTCGTTATTGTATCTCGAAGCTGTCAATTTAAAATCTCACATGACTTTGAACGTTGAAAAATTTTTACGATAAAGTGAAGCACTTACAAGAATATATGGTTTCATATTTCTGCCCCCTACATACAAGATAAATTATGTTAACATGCAACATAATTATGTAAACATACGATTTATGTCAACTTGCAAAATAATCATGTTGACATGCGAGTTACCAATCTCCTTAGAGAATCTTATTTTAATGTTGGTAAACTTACTAACGCAATTATATGACATCATACAAGCGATATGAAACAGAATTATGTTGACATGCGACTTATTTATGTTAACATGCGAGATAATTATGTAGACATGCAACTTATTTATGTCAAGATAATTTTGATAACATGCGAGTTAATTATATCAACATGCAAGATATGTATATTTACATGCAACTTATAATCTTGCATGCTGACATACATATCTTGTGTGTTAAAATATAACTCGCATGTTGACAAAATAAGTTGCATGTTGAAATAAATAAGTTGCATGTTTACATAAATAGGTCGCATGTTGGCATCAATCAATTGCATGTTAACACAATTATCTTGCCTGTTAAAATATAACTCGCATGCTGACATAAACAAGTTGCATATTTTCATAATTATCTCGCGTGTTAAAATAATTATCTTGCATGTTGACATAAATAAGTCGCATGTCTACATAATTATGCGGCACGTTAACATAAATATGTTGCATGTTGACAAATATTGTGGTATATTTCTGCCCCCTACATGTAAGATACATTATGTCAACATGCAACATATTTATGTAGACATGCAAGTTACCAACCTCTTTAGAGAATTTAATTTTAATGATGGTAACTTACTTAATAAATAAGTCACATGTTAACATAATCATCTTGCATGTTAAAATATAACTCGCATGTTGGCATAAATAAGTCGAATGTTGACATAACTAACTTAAAGGTGCATGTTAACATAATTATTTTGCATGTTGATATAAATAAGCCGCAAGTTTACATATTTATGCTGCATGTTTACATAAATAAGTCGCATGTTGACATAATTATCTTGCATGTTAACATAATTACCTTGCATGTTGACATAAAAAAGGTCGCATGTCAACTTAATTCTGTTGCATCTTGCTTGTATGATATCGTTTCACAACGTTAGAAAGTATGTTTGCCAACATCTTGCATGTAGGGGGCAGAAATATGCCACCATAAGATTATCTAAAAAGATTAGTAACTTGCATGTGGACAAACTTTTCTCACATGTTAACATAACATAATTTATCTTGCATGTAGGGGGCAGATATATGCCACCATAGACATCAATAAATTGCATGTTAACATAATCATCTTGCATGTTAAAATATATCTCGCATGTTGACATAAATAAGTCGTATGTCTATGTAATTATCTCGCATGTTAACATAATTACATGTATCTTGACATAAATAAGTTGCATGTCTACATAATTATGTTGCATGTTAATATAGATATGTCGTATGTTGACATAAATATCTTGCATGTTAAAATAATTATTTTGCATGTTAACATAAATAAGTTGCATATCAATATAATTCTGTTCCATCTTGCTTGTATGTTGTCGTATACCGGCGTTAGTCCTTAAGTTTACCAACATTAAAATTAGATTCTCTAAAAAGATTGCTTATACCATCATGTTAACTTAATCAATATGTATGTAGACATAATTATCTTGCATGTTGACATAATATATCTTGCAGGGGGCAGAAATTTGCCACCTTAAGAAAATTTAGCGATTGCTGATTGGAATAAAGATTGGATTATGTTCTAAATACTGTTTCACCGGAATGATTAAGAAACATCAGTTTTAAAAGGATTGATAAATGTAATTTTTACAATGCTGTTTTCTAGTTTTATTTTTATTATCATGCAATTAATTTTTAAGACATTATTTCCAATTTCCATTTACCATCCAAATTCAGGTATGCCTTCTCAATGACTTCTTTATTTTGTGTGATATCAGCTGTTATCAAAAAGACTTCATTTCCTAAAAGTAAATATACAGATTTTAACTTACAATACTTTCAAGTTACATCAAACTATCGTTTACATGCATTGTTTGTTTGTTTGCATGTTTTTTAACGTCCCTCTCGAGAATTTTTCACTCATATGGAGACGCCACCACTTGCCGGTGGAGAGCTGCAAATTTTGTCCTGTACTCGGCACTTACGGCCATTGAGCAGTGAGGGATCTTTTTCGTGCCAGCACCTACTGCGACACGGGACCTCGGTTTATACGGTCTCATCCGAAGGACCGGTTTCCACATCCCACAGTGGGATTCGAACCCGCGACGTAAGGATCAACTCCTTACTTCGCGACTCTAGAGCAGACGCTCTAACCACTGCGCCATGCGGGCCCTACATGCATTGTAAAATACGAGATACGTTTTAAAATTATACACATGTATCACTGGTATCTACCGGTGAAATATAATTATGTGTTTATAATTGCACATAAGCTGGTATGTGCATTTATGGTATCTCTAAGAATTGGCACCAGTCTCGCTTAATTGCGAATGGCCAAAAGGGTATGTTAACAAGAGGCCCATGGGCCACATCGCTCACCTGAGCACATTGGCTAGGCAAAAGCACAATCAGTTCAGTATTGAAAAGACCGGGGGGAGGGGGGGGGGGCTTGAATTTTAAACTACCTGATGATGCTTCCATGTCAATATAACAAATGGCTTTGTTGTACTTGAGAAGATTTTTTTTTAAAAATTCCCATATATTCCTTTGTAAAAATTTGATCCCTCATTGTGGCTCCTCCCTATCCCAGGGGTCATCATTTGAACAAACTTGAATCTACACTACCTGAGGATGCTTCCATATCAATATGACTAAACATAGCTTTTCTGTTTTTGAGAAGAAATATTTTTTCTATATGTTCTTATGTAAAACTTTCCATCCCCCATTGGGCCCCATCCTACCCTTGGGGGTCATCATTTGAACAAAATTGAATCTACACTACCTGAGGATGCTTCCATATCAATATGACTAAACATAGCTTTTCTGTTCTTCATAAGAAGATATTTTCCTTTATATTTCTATGTAAAACTTTGATCCTCCATTATGGCTCCACCCTACCCCCGGGGGTCATGGTTTGAACAAACTTGAATCTACACTGCCTGAGGATGCTTCCATATCAATATGACTAAACATAGCTTTTCTGTTCTTGAGAAGAAATATTTTTTCTATATGTTCTTATGTAAAACTTTCCTTCCCCCATTGGGCCCCACCCTACCACTGGGGGTCATGATTTGAACAAACTTGAATCTACACTACCTCAGGATGCTTCCATATAAATATGACTCATCATGGCTTTGCTGTTCTTGAGAAGAAGATTTTTAAAGATTTTTCCTATATATTTCTTTTTAAAACTTTGATCCTCCATTGCGGCCCCGCCCTACCCCCGGGGGTCAACATTTGAACAAATTTGAATCTACACTACCTGAGGATGCTTCCATATAAATATGACTCATCATGGCTTTGCTGTTCTTGAGAAGAAGATTTTTAAAGATTTTTCCTATATATTTCTATGTAAAACTTTGATCCTCCATTGTGGCCCCGCCCTACCCCCGGGGGTCATGATTTGAACAAATTTGAATCTACACTACCTGAGGATGCTTCCATATAAATATGACTCATCATGGCTTTGCTGTTCTTGAGAAGAAGATTTTTAAAGATTTTTCCTATATATTTCTATGTAAAACTTTGATCCTCCATTGCAGCCCCGCCCTACCCCTGGGGGCCATGGTTTAAACAAATTTGAATCTACACTACCTGAGATTGCTTCCATATAAATATGACTCATCATGGCTTTGCTGTTCTTGAGAAGAAGATTTTTAAAGATTTTTCCTATATATTTCTATGTAAAACTTTGATCCTCCATTGTGGCCCCGCCCTACCCCCGGGGGTCATGATTTGAACAAACTTGAATCTACACTACCTGAGGATGCTTCCATATAAATATGACTCATCATGGCTTTGCTGTTCTTGAGAAGAAGATTTTTAAAGATTTTTCCTATATATTTCTATGTAAAACTTTGATCCTCCATTGCAGCCCCGCCCTACCCCCGGGGGCCATGGTTTGAACAAATTTGAATCTACACTACCTGAGATTGCTTCCATATAAATATGACTCATCATGGCTTTGCTGTTCTTGAGAAGAAGATTTTTAAAGATTTTTCCTATATATTTCTATGTAAAACTTTGATCCTCCATTGCAGCCCCGCCCTACCCCCGGGGGTCATGATTTGAACAAAATTGAATCTACATTACCTGGGAATGCTTCCATATAAATATGTCTCATCATGGCTTTGCTGTTCTTGAGAAGAAGATTTTTAAAGATTTTTCCTATATATTTCTATGTAAAACTTTGATCCTCCATTGCAGCCCCGCCCTACCCCCGGGGGTCATGATTTGTACAAACTTGAATGTACACTACCTAAGGATGCTTCCACGTGAGTTTCATCTTTCCTGGCTCTGTGGTTCTTGAGAAGAAGATTTTTAAATGATGCCATTATTTTTTCAGTAATTCCTAATTATCTCCCCTTGAAAGAGGGCGTGGCCCTTCATTTGAACAAACTTGAATCCCCTTTACCCAAGGATACTTTGTGGCAAGTTTGGTTGAAATTGGCCCAGTGGTTCTTGAGAAGAAGTCGAAAATGTGAAAAGTTTACAGACAGACGGACAGACAGACGGACGCCGGACAAAATGTGATCAGAAAAGCTCACTTGAGCTTTCAGCTCAGGTGAGCTAAAAATGTTACGGAGTTCAAAACAGAGTTTTTGCCCCTCTCTTACATACAATGGGTTCTCGTTTTGATTCGTCAACAAAAGTTTATAATTCCATAATTTTGATTATTAGAAAGTTCATTTATTCTTTTTAGTTGCCTTACATCAAATTTGAATGGTATATGCCTTACGTTCTTGGAAGGTGGCCTAGTGATTATTGTGAAACTACCATATTTCAGAAGGTTGGATACCCGCAAGCTTTATTTTTTTCGGTTTAAGACTAAACAGGCATACTGTACCATCCCAAAGCTATCATTTGCAGTAAATAATTAACAAATATGCTAAATTAACTCAGATAACTGAGAACATTGATTAAACTTTAACTACAATCAAAATCACCGATATTTACTTTTAGTTTGATATGTAAACCCATTCTCGAATGTGTATAGAATGATTTCTGAACAATACGGAGATTATATTCGTCTAATTTCTTTCAAATATATTATGGAGATCTACAATTGAGCGAGCTAACCAGTACCTATGATCAGAGATATCAAAATACGCATGAATTGTGGAAAAAGTGTACATATGTACATAAGTAGCATAATGATTTAAGACATTTGGGTAAACCATCAGACACCAAAAATCAGCGTAGTTATTTTTCGATTCCTATGTCTCTGACCATTTAAATGAATGAAATCCCTTCCAACGTTTAAAAATTAGCAAAATAAGGGGTATGAAACAAGACTCAGTATTAAAGAAAAGTACTGTTGGTCATCCTCATGGTGTGAATAACTTTCTGCTTAAATCGTTAACAAAATAATAGACAATTTCAATCTAGACGTGTAAAAAACACAACAATAACATTTATTTTAAAAAAAAATATAATGGAAGATATGGACAATAGGAAATCTTTTTTGAGGTCATGAGTTACCTTCCAGAGTGGAGGAAATGTTGGACAACATTTTAAGTTGAGTATCGTTGGGAAACATCTGCAGTCCGCTTATCCATAAAAGAGCTTTCCGACCTCTATAGTTCCTGTAAATGCAAATGCTTAAATCAACGAAAAGAAAAATCGTGTTTCCTCATGAGAAGGAATTTAATTATTTTTGCTGTTTTGCAGTGAAAGTAAACTTTATTTAATAGCATCTTTATGATGAAAAATTAAACAGCCTTTGTGGCAACAGAAACCTTTGAGCCTCTATGACCTTACACCGTCGTGGTTTCGAGACCCCCTCGCTTTGCCTTGTTATTTCAATCTCATAGACAAATCCTCATAAACTTTTCATCATTTGAACAGAATGTGCTACATGTACCTACATGAAATCTTTAAATGTGTTTACCCAATCTTGGACAATGCCTGGAACAGATCGTCTGACATCGGATCGACACTGAGGCTATCTCCATAAATTTGGTAAAGGACATCACAAACTTCATTTAGAAAATCTGAAAACAGTACAAGATACAGACGGTAAGTACTAAAATTATAATTTTAATCCATTTATCGTAATCAGTCAATTCAAATACTAAATAGAAAAGCTAAAGATGCCATACGGTACCTTACCTTTGGAAACGTCAATGGGTGCGTATTCTACTGTATTTTGATACTGTAATAGTTCATTCAATAACATTTGTGCTTTTTTAGTATTTCCACATCCAATGTCAAATACTTTGCAGGGAATACACAGATTGGATACAACACCCTATAAAACATTTCTCTTATTGATATAAAATATGACAAAAACTTTTAACGCTAGTTAAGCTTTATCAATTTTAACTCGATCAATTAAAATAAATGATACAAAATTAGATAAGCACAACCATTAATTTCCTTTGTAAGATGAGCAAATTGAAGATGATCATTTAAAGGTAAATTTTTTATTTTGTTTTCTCAGAAAATTTATGTCAAAAACTACTGAAAAAACAACAACCAAGAAACATACTTTAATGCTAGATTTGATAAGTGCTTCCTCTGCCCTGTAATGATAATATTCCTCCAGGTCAAAACATTGCTCATCATACTGCAATCCCTGGTGGTCATAACGCAAGGAAACTGGAATGTATTTAGGACGACTGCACAGCCCCTTCTTTAAGTTCCTTGGCTAGGTCCATGGCTGGTTGTCTGTTATGAAATCTTAGCAGTAATCAAGTCCAATATAATGATCTTAAAATACTTGTACAGGATGTGAACCCCTTATGCATCGCTCAAGTATTGTGTAGAAGTAGGTGCATGTATGAACAAAGATATACAGATGCGTACTTGTAACATTTCCGATTATGAATTATGGCTTAAAATTTACAGTTGTTAAAACTTTAAGAAATGTAATAGGAAGAGTAGATAAATAATATTATAACTATAATATGTACATTACATATATATTGTAACGTTACAAATATGAAATCCACCCAGTCATTATACTTTATGACCTATATAGATTTATAATGGTAAATATGATACCCCTGGCCATTACTATATGATCAATATAGATTTATAATAATAAATATGATACCCTTGGCAATTATATTTATTACTTCATGTATATGACTTTTTTCAAATTATAAGATTTATAATATTACAAATATAATATTACTGTTCATTAGGATCTTTATAGATTTAAATGTTACAAATGTGGTATACCTTGTTATTAGTATATGACATATAAATTGGTAATATTACAAATAAAATACACCTGGATATTGCTAAGTGCATAGTCTTTGAATCAATATTAAGACTAATGGTTTTCCTCTTTAAAAAAGAAACACGTACATGTTTTTTTCTTACATTTTTGGCAATTATATTCTCCTTCTTTGGTTTAAACAATATTTATTCAAAATAATGAATCGATTGGGTAACAGGCAATGCCTATAAATACCCTCTCTATACAAGAATCAAAGTTACAAAATACAATGGACTGAATATATATATATATATATTACAATGCGGGTAAACACACACAGACACACCTACAGAAACACACACACGCAAGCACACACTGACACGCACAGATCCAGATGAATTAAGCATAACACATAGTATAAATGAAATATACTAAAAAATATATATATCACAAGGAATTGTATTTAAAAACGTTTTGTTGACCTAATATATTGTTGCACATAATTTGTAATGTTGATGTTCGTTTGATACGATGACTTCGAACACCCATGTAAAAGAGTCTTTAGTTCATACGGTATACCTAGCTCTTGTAAATTTTTTCTTAGTTCATTTCTTTGTATACTGTAAACTGGACAATTCATAAAATAGTGCTCATTATCCTCATTATGGTAATCACACCTAGGACAAGATGAATCAGCTATTATATAATGATTTTTTAAGTGTGCATTGAGGTTACTAGCTTTTCTGCGTAATTGACAGTGAAGTATATTCTCTTTCCTGTTACCATGGTTATAATATTTACAATTGCTAAATGGTCGTTTAGTTTTTATTTTTGACTTAAACATTGATAAAGAAGGTGACATTTAACATCAGAGCTAAGATTATTCCACAGTTTTATAGTTGAAGGAATAAAACTATTATAGTAAGATTCAGTTCTACATAATGGTAGAGAAAGATTACTTCTGTCTGATCTCAAACTATAAGAATGTTGCACTGGTTGGAAGGGCTGTAATAATTCGCATAGATAATATGGGGCAATACCATTGACAATTTTATAAAATAATATAAGTTTATGATTTATTCTTCTCTGATGTAATGGCTCCCAACCTAGTTCGTCGTATAGATTAGATCTTGAAGAATTTACTCTTAGACCAGTAATAATTCTTGCAGCTTCTACTTGAACCTTTTCTAACAATTCTGTATTTTCCTGAGAGCAGTTATCCCATACCACATCTGCGTATTCTAAGACAGGTCTAATGAAAGCAAAATATATCTTTATTAGGGAATTTCTATCAAGTGTGTGATTTAGTAATCTCAAAATATTTAATCTGTTACAAGCTTTTTCGTAAATAGCAGATATATGTTTATTCCAACTACCATCGGACTGAAGGTGAAGCCCTAAATGTATATGACTACTGGATGGTTCAATAATGTCCCCATGTTCTCCAAAATGAATGTCTGGAAAAAGTCGCTGCTTTCTTGTAAAGTTAACATTAATTGTTTTATCAGCGTTAAAATCTACAGCCCAAGAGTTTGACCATTTCTTTATTTTTTCGAGATCGGCTGTAAGAGATAATGTAGGAGTCATAATATCAGCGTCAACTATAGCAAACAAAGATGTATCATCCGCAAATAAACGGATACCATTATGTATGCCTTCGGTTATATCATTAATGTATAATAAGAATAAAAATGGGCCTAGCACAGATCCCTGGGGTACTCCTGCATCAACAGTTTTGAATGTTGATGAGAAACCTTCAATATTTACTTTTTGTTGCCTGTCAGTAAGGTAGTCTTTAATCCAGCCCAAAATATTATTTTGGAAGCCTATTTTTTCAAGTTTAAAGATAAGTCCTTTGTGCCAAACCCTATCAAAGGCTTTTGAAATATCACAGAATATAAATCTTAGGTCACGGCCTTTATCGAGATTTGACATAATTTTATCATATATTTCAACTAGTTGATTTACTGTGGAGTCACCAGGCTGAAATCCCGATTGGTTTTTTGATAATAATTCGTAGTCTTTTATATAATTAAACATATACTTGAAAAAACTCCTTCTTTAAATCGCAGTGAACATTTACTTCAAATATACACTAAATTATCCCCTTCCTTTTTTGCAGTTAACATTTGTTGTGGAATCACTAATAGATATATATATATATACTTGTGAAACTTCAACGACCCTCTCCGAGATTCAAAGATTTTAACATTTTCTTAATCTCACTTAGTTTTGGTGACCGTACTAGTAATAAGTTTTCTGGAGCAAATGTCAATTTCAATTTATAACTCTGTCTAGGAGCAACAGATTTATGTAGAGTTTTTCATTTCCATGGAAAGAAGTAATAATTTTTTATGACCACATACATGACCTTGGTTTCAAATATGAAGCGCATTGTCAGTTTACTGATAATTCTAATTAATAATGCGTCAAATTAACCATTAATGGATCTTTTAATTGAAAATTTAACAAAGTTTCATCGCAAAACTCTTTCCAGAAAAAAGTGCACATCTAAAAAATGTTTACGAAGCATGCATTCTTCTTGGAGGAAATATGAAATCATCAGAATTTTGAATGAGATTAGAAAGGTGATTGATAGTCTAGAGTTATTATAGACAAAAATTTTACTGAATTAAAACTATGCTAACTAAAGAAATTACCCTCATTACAATAACAACAATATACTGGTTTATAACTTATACTGCTTTACACAAAACCTAGATTTGTTTCTGTGATTAACTCTTCATAGATTAAAAATAAACAATAATACTTCTTTTAAAATTCTTTTTTGATATTTGATCAATTACGAACTTATTTTTACGTTATTTTTACGTTATTAGTGTTTGAACAACAACTATATTTAAGTTTACCGTATAAAATACGAGAAAAAAAGCATTGATTGATTGATTGTTGTTTTACGTCCCATTCGAGACTTTTTCACTCATATAGAGACGTCACCATATACCGGTGAAGGGCTTCAAATTTTGACCTTTACCCTGTACTCAGGGCCATTGAGCAGTTACGGATCTTTATCGTGCCAACGCCTGCAGTGACACGGGGCCTCGGTTTTTAAGGTCTCATCCGAAGGACCCGAAACTTTCACTTCAAAGTGCCGAGCGCATGGCGAAGAACAAGTTGCTACCTATTTTTAATCGACTTAGGTCAGTCGCAGCCGACTTTCGAACTCAGACCTTCCGATCACGGAGCTGGCGCTCTACCGACTGAGTACCGTGAACGGTAAAAAGGGGATTGAATATAGCAGCACATTACAAAATTTAAATGAAAATTAAAAGGTATTGAATGTAGCAGATCTGTTCAAGTGGTGTTTATTTATTTTTTATATAAAATTTTCTGATTTGATTTTAAAAGAATATCTGGATGAAATTTAAGTAATAAATATGAAGCTAGAGAACAGTAATCAAGCTCAAAACTCCGTTTGATTAAAACAAATTGGGAGCAGAGCAAAAACGGAAAACATCAGAGGTGGTGTCAGGTGCCATTCAGTAGTTACCTTTCCATGTCGACCAGTCACAACCGCCTTGTGCTCCTTGTCATGATCAGGCAAACGGAATAATCTGCAGACAATAAAGAGTGAAAATAGAAGCCTAACAATTACTATGAAAAATGTCAGTCAACGTTCGACTTAACGATAGAGTGTTTGTTTGTTGTTTAACGTCCCTCTCGAGAATTTTTCACTTATATGGAGATACCACCACTTGCCGGTGGAGGGTTGCAAATTTATACCTATACTCGGCACTCACGGCCATTGAGCAGTGAGGAAACTTTTTCGCGCCAACACCTACTGCAGCACGGGACCTCAGTTTAGACGGTCTCATCCGAAGGACCGGTCTCCACGTTTCACAGTGGATTCAAACCCGCGACGCAAGGATCAGCTCCTTATTCCGCGACTCTTGAGCAGATGCTGTAACCACTGCGCCACGCGGCCGACTAACGATGATACTTTTCTTTCATATTCTTAGAATGTATTTGCTAACGATTAAGGTCCTTCTTTGGACCATAGAATTTATAAAATGTTGAATGTAAACAAGACCGTTAATATCCTTGTATCATTAACATATGTGTCAATAGTTTTAGAAATTGATTGTATGTAGAGTATGCTTTTGCTTATCGAATCAACTAGGAGACATAAATTCTTTATGCGGGTGATAATGTTATATTGCTACATAATTATTGGAAGTCATTACGTTTAACAAAAATTTTAGTTGTTTTTTTTTCCATTAACATCTTTAGTCAGTAAAACATCTAAAGGATGACTGCACTTAAGGACATGCGAAATTTGCGACAAAATAAACTTTCAAAAGAAGCATTTTTCTTTGCATTGCAAGAATGGTCAACATCCAATCTACAACTTTATGTAATTACGTTTAATAAAAGTGTGTATTTACGAAATTCGAATCTGTTTTCAAAGGCAGGGGTCATCACAATTTCTTGAATCTCCGTACGATAATGAGGACGCCCACTTTTTTACTGACTTTATACATAGTCAGCGCATGTTTGTCTACGTTTAACAGTAGTTGTATATTTGCATAAATAATAATGTGTCAAAAGGAGATTAATAGACAAACATGCGCTCATGGTTAAAAAGAGAAAAAAACTGTTTCTTCTTACATTCGCTCTCTGTGTTGTAACCAAGGATTGTGACATGTTGAATATTATAATTCACCACTCGATGTCCTACCTCAGGTAACTTTGTGAATGCTAAATTCTGTCACGTGATTTGTAAGGTAGCATTATTGTGATAGTGCCATACAGAATGGAGAGGGAGATTGGAAAGAGTGATCACGTTCTTTTTTTCAAACATGTCATTGTTATTTATCAAGTCTAATTTTAGACCCATTCTTACAATGTTAGCTCCACCTCTCATGCATATCTTATGTTCATTCAAGGGCAGGTAAGTGTAAATTCAGTATATTTGGAAAGCAGTAAGGACAAAAAACATTGAATAATTTTATTGTATCACAGTCTAAAATCATATAAAAAGATTTAAATTGGTCCCAAATTGACAGGATTCTTTCATAAACATACAAAAGTGAAATAAGGTTTAGATATAAAAGCAACAGAAGCAACCGAAACCGAAAAAGACCCAAAATTAGCCGTTAAGTGCAGTCATCCTTTGAAAGAGATGTATTTAGACTCTTTGATGTCTTTTATTTTGAGTTCAAAGGAATATATTAAATCAATGTAGGAAAGAAAAATGAAACTTGTTAATCGAATAAAAGGCTACAGCAAGAGATTTCTTTTCATGGAGAAGTTTTTGAATAAATTCTGCTTCATTTGAATACAAAAACAAGTCTGCTAATTATGAGGAGCAACTAGTACCCATGAGAAATCCAACAGATGGCTGGAAGACATGATCTCCAAAAACTTAATTTGACAACTCAAATTGTCATTTCCGCTTTTCAGTGGCTATAACAATACTAAGCTTAATGGAATACAAGTAATAGCTTTTCAAAAAGCTTGCCTGACTAATCAATCAATATCTATGGAACGTATATGCAAGAGAGGTGCTAAACGTTTCCGTCATCAAGGAGCGACATAGTTGCCATACTTCATTACACAAGATATACAATTGACTTTCTTAAATGTCATAACCAAATACTACAGATTAACGAATATCTAAGACATGCCACTATTTGGTCATTTATTAGTTAGTCCACGGGCTGACTAGTTACTTTGGGATGAAACTGCAAGTGCGCTAGCGTAGATTATAAAAATTTTATGGTTCTTTGCACCGCAGGTAGTTCGATTAGCTTACCTGGTTTGGCGAGTTTTCACTTTCCCGCTGGCACAAGTTCGTGTTACATGTGTAGTTGCCAGGGCAGGGTCAGTTTCACATTTAGTTTACCTATATATTAAAATCTACTTCAAAGGTAATTATTCTTTTATTTTAATTTAATGTAGGTGTAATTTTCTAAAAGTATTTATTTACGCAATATCGTCATTTTCATTATTTAGGAGTTTGAGAGCTAGAGTAATTGTATTGTGTGCACACTGAGTTAATTAATTGTACTCAGATAAATTTAGTATGTTTTAAGTAATTCTTATTTATTAAAGATTTCAAGAGTAATTTATGAGAAAGTCAATTTTCGTGTTTCTGAACAAATTTTAACCATATCGGAAAATTTAAATAGACCTTACGTTTTATATGCAGGATATTGCCCTTATAATGCCTGAATAATATTAGAAGTACATACAGTGTATGGTAAACCTTTACACCTCATGTGAGGTAAGATTGTGTGTATTTGTTTGTTTTGTCTTTATGTATGTCATGTCTATGTTCTGCATGTTTCATGTTGTGGACGTACTATTTTTAAGTGTGTTTTATTTGGATCTTCGTTTCGTTTCATTTCATTTGTTGAGAAATCATATATATCATTGATTATTTATTTTATCAGAGATTATCTGTAATTATCATTTATTTTCTCAATCAAGAAGTTAACTGACTTTAATAGATAATTGTAAACAGCAGCAAGTAAATTGTAATTCTTGGCTAAAGTTTGCGGTATAAATTTCATTTTATTTTGTTACTAATTTGACCATTTTATCCACATGATTATTCATGTACCAATTAATGAATAAAATATCCTAAACTCCAATAAGGACTCATTCCTCTATACCGGATAACCGGTCAAATTTATGAAATATGACGAACAGTAATCAAGGTCAGAAGTCCATAGGAATAATACACATTACATATTAATTATTAGCAGACTTACTTTTGTATTCACATGAAGCATAAATTATTTTAAAAAATTCTACATCAAAAGAAGTATAAATCTTTCCTTGGCCTTCAATTCAACATTTATAGATATGTCTACAGTTATCAATTTACAATATTCATTTTCATGTTTATTCGATATATCCCTTTCAATTCGAATTAAGACACCAAAGAGTATGACACATTTGTTTCATATTTGGATATTTTCCTGTAATATAACAACAAAACTTTATGATAAACTTAATGACTTCAACTTTTCTATCATCAACTTGGCTTACTAATGTAGCAGTATACCTTTATCACCTGCATATGGAGTTTATGTCTACCAGTTGATTCGATACGCAAGAGCATGCTGTACGTACGAGCAATTTCTAAAATGAGACAAACTCGTGACGAATAAGTTGATGAAACAAGAATATCAGCAGTCTTTTTAAAAGACAACTTTTTGAAAATTCTATGGTCGAAACAATGACCTTGTCAGCATACACAATTTATCATTAAGTGAAATGTTGACTGACGTTTTTCATATAAAATGTTAAGCCATTATTTTCATACTGAATTGTCTACAGATTTTTTCTCTTTGCCCGATCATGACAAGGAGCATACGGCAATTTGACCGGTCGGTAGTAGATGCTTACTTCTCCGTGGCACCTCTGATTTTTTAAGAGGCCCGTGTTTGCTCTGCTCCAAATCTGTACTATTGTTTCAATGGAATTTTGAGATTGATTTCTGTTCGTCCTGTCATATTTTATTCTGAATGATGTAAAGTGTTTTCATCAAATAACCTGCTAATCCCAAATTTAATTAAAAAGGTTTATTACTTACCCGGGGTATCAAAATCATACAATCATTTTTCCTCTATTTTGTCCATGCGCAGAGAAATTATTTTGAGATATGATGTATTTTCACTATAATCATAGAGCATGAACCCTGTACCCAGGAGCCAAAATTTCACAATTTTGGTAGAGAGTTCGTTGCTAGTTAGAATCGAGCTAATAGTTTAAATGCTTGCAAATTGATGTCCATAAGTAAAAAAGATGGTTAAAGATTAAGTAGTTTGGCCCCGCCCTTCATGCCCCATGAAGGCAGGGACCATCAAATTCAAAATTATTTATCCTTTTCATCCACAGCTGCTTTATACTAAAATTAGTGGACATTGGTTCAGCAGTTCAAAAAAAAGCTTGAAGAATTTTGAATTGGTAAAAAAAAAAGGCTGATGAATGCCACATGGAAGTTGGACGAAAAAATATATTAATGGGTCATTAAGTTGACCTAAATTGCTAAAGTAAAATAAATTTCAGTATATGATATTTGTTCCATCCTTGAGTCTGATCACTGTACCCAGGAAACATTAAGGATATCCGAATCTCAGCCAGGAAGGATAACTCTTAAAATTATTATTTAATTTAAAAAATCTCAACATGAAGCTTGAAACTGAAAAATTCTTATGCAACAATTTTCATTTTATGCATCTTAATATGATGCAAGGTTGTTTGAAGTCTTAGAAAGGGTCTTGTAAAAAAAATTGACATTTGTACCCTATAAAAGTCAAAAATACAGTTTTAAAGAAATAGGATTTTCTTGAGTCTAGCTTAGATACCAATGCTTTTAAGCATGATATAAGATTAGAAGTGATCTGTGATGTCTTGTAATGATACCACAAGCTTTATAAACTATATATTATATATTTGAAGGAAATAGAAGACTCAGAATACTGAATAAGTATTAAAAAAACACGCAAATTTCTCTGAATGCCTGGATACCTATAGTTTTTCCTCAGATATATTTGTTGATCAATTTTCAATAAGAAAATTCATAATTGATGTTTCTATTCGCTTTTCCTGAATATATATTGGAGATTTGATGATTTTCGCTATATAATATGATTAACTATAATGATTAAATACTGTGGGTAAACAAACATTTCTTTACAATGTATGAAATCAGAGATATTTTTGTGAGCATTTTCAATTCCTTAACTGCTGATTTTATGAACCTGAGGATCAGACTACCTTAAATTTACAATATCTGTGGAAGGGTAGCTGCTCATTTTAATCAAGCAAATAATTTGCCTGTTTAATGATCACAAGTAATGGAGATTTTAAAAGATGCAATGTACCGGTACTTTCAAAATACCGGTCTGACCATCTTTGTCCTACCATAGAGCCTAAACCATGGGTCATGGGGCTTGAATTTTACAATTTTGTTGATTTAGTGTTCATTATAACTTTGAATTTTTTTATGCCAGATGATTATAAGTGAAGATTTTCAGAGGTATTTTCAAATATTTACATTTCCAAATATTTTTGCTTTACAAATTAGAAAAGTCCATTTTCTCGTGAACTACCATGGATGAACAAGAATGTATCCATTGTGACATCATAATACTGTACTTGACATCAAAACCATAGTTTTGTTTCAAAAATGATAAGTGAATATCATATAAAGTTGTGGTCAGTCATCAGACAAATTATGTCAATATAAGATATAAATTTAATTTTTGAGAATTCATGAGGTAATTCATAAGCTAATGCACTCATGAAATTTGCTAGCATCAAGCAGAGTAGTTCCATGTCCTCATGAATTCTCAGAAATGAAAGTCATTTCTTAACACTCCTGAATTCCTGATTGCTGGACCATGGAAGATTCAATGTTGGTAAAGGCTTAAACTCATTGTATCATCCAAACAATCTGCTTGCTTCAATCCAATGAGTTAACAGAAAATTGTTGAAGTTGTAATGTCAATAAAAGTTTTCTTGCTAAATGACCATACATGCAAGTAAGTAAAAGATTTTTTTCCTTTTCAAATGATCAGTTCATAATTCTTAATCATTAAAAAGAACGTCTTCTAAGACAAATTTTTTCATGATGAAACATAGTTTAAACTTCTCTTGAGTAACTGCCCTAGTTAAAAAGTGCCTCTCTTCACTTCCATTGCAATTCCTCTCACTCAAAAATTCTATGAAAAAGTTCTTTGAAAAAACACCTCATGTGAAAATATCTCATGCCAAGAAGTCTAAATTGTCAAATGTTTAGGCAATGCAGAAAGACATTCACAAGGCAAAACTTGTACACAATAATTTTAATGCTTTTAGTCTCAGTTGAGATAAAAATAATAATGGGAAAATGCAAAGGAATGAATAAAAGCTCACTTCAATTCAGTCTTAATGATGGTGATTTGTCAAATTTCTTTTAGACATAATGTTAGTTGTCCCTTTAGTTTTTCTTTGCCCTACTACTTTCTCCTGAACATGTTGCATTAATTTGACATGGAGAATAACTTTAAACAATTCTTGGCGCTCTGATTTTTTCAGGAAATCATATCGTTGACTGTAGTGAAGAACTGGTTTCTCCAGATGCTTAAATGGTCCTTTTTTGTTAGAATTTTGAATTTTCTCCCAGCTGACCTCAGTTAACTGTAGATGAGTAACTGTCACCTGTAAAGAAAATTTGAATTGTTTTTTTTCAACAAGAGTGGTAGGCAAAAGAGGTGTTACTTTTTTAACAATACGTATATACCTGTTTTGACTATGGGGCCTTGACTTTAGCTTTTTACCTTTTAAAGAGTGCAGAAGGGTTTAAAAAGTATTATTTAAATATAATTAAGAATTATTTAAATTAACATACTTGTGTTTTTTCAACTGTAAATCCAAGAATATCTCTACCAACACTTCCACAGAGATCCATATGTGTAACTGAACTGTCAAGATAGGCTAACAGTTCTCCAGTATGTTGAGCAAGAAAGGCATCCTGAGAAGAAACATGACGTGTTTTCTTAATTACAGGACTGTCATAGGTATCTTTATCTTCTATGTTCTTTTTAAGCTGAAAAATATAATAATCGATAATTCTGAGAGTATTGCAAAAACAATAATAGTCCCATACCAGCAGGAGAAATCTGGTTCCCCTTTAAAACATGAGGCCCATGGGCCACATTGCTCATCTGAGCACTTTGGCTAGGACAAAGCAGAAATCAATTTAGTATTGAAAAGTTTAAATATAAAAGTGGCTCCAGGGGAGGGGGTTTTGATTTGAACAAACTTGAATTTACACCACCTTTGACTGCTTTTAAATTAATATGACTTATTATGACTTTGCTGTATTTATGAAGAAATTCTTATCGATATATCCTTAATATTCCTTTGTATAACTATGATCCCTTGTTATGGACCCTCTTTACTCCAGGGGGTCATGATTTGAACAAATTTGAATCTACACTACCTGAGGATGCTTCCATGAAAATTTGATTAATCATGGCTTTGTTGTTCCTGAGAAGAAGATTTTTAAAGATTTTTCCTATCTATTCCTATGTAAATATTTATTTATTATTTGATCATCCATTGTGGCCCCGCCCTACCCCCTAGGGTCATGATTTGAACAAACATGAATCTACACTATTTGAGGATGTTTCCATATTAGTTTCATCTTTCCTGGTCCAGTGGTTCCTGAGAAGAAAATTTTTTTGAAGAAGCCATTAATTTTTCACTTATTTGTAATTATCTCTCCTTGGAAGAAGGCGTGGCCCTTCATTTGAACAAATTTGAATCCCCTTTACCCAAAGATACTTTGTGGCAAGTTTGGTTGAAATTGGCCCAGTGGTTCTTGAGAAGTGGAAAATGTTAAAAGTTTACAGATGGACAGGTAGACAGATGGATGACCGAAAAAATGTGACTAGAAAAGCTTGCTTGCGCTTTCAGCTCAGGTGAGCTAAAATGTTTACCCACACCGCCATAGTATTAGCTCTTTCAGCCTTGGGTCAGGAGAGCTAAAAATAAAACAATGGATTGAAACAAAATTTTAAGAATTCTTTTGGACCAAAACTATAATTCACATCATATCTTCCAAGTGTTAGAAAGACACAAATACACTGGATGATGCTTAATGGATGACTAGGAATCGAAAAGATAGCAATATGTTGATCACCTTAATCTTAAAGATGAAACATCCAAACAAGATAAAATGTTAATACCTTTACAACACATAAAACTTTCCCCTCCAAACTATAGCATAAGATATCTGCTGCTGAAGAAACAATTTCTCCCTTGACCTTGAACTTCTTTACTGCTATGTCAGGTTGATGCCTGAAAATAAGAACATAAAGAGCAATGTAAACATGAAACAAAATCAATGTTCGGGTTACAAAACAAGTATAATTTCAAGTTCTTAATCCTGTTAATTTTGATTTTGATTTCAAATAAGGGGCCAAATGTGGCTGTTATTATACCTTGTCCTTTACATATGTAATATTTGCTCTCACTGTGTAAATTAGGGGCATGTGAATAGGCCTCCTTTGATTAAAACTAGCTATTATAGTTCTGGTTCAGAAGTCTAGAATTGAAGTTTAGAGATACACAAACATGCATGGACTATGAACAAATTTAAAAGATATTTATTCATAGAGATCTACTTATAGGTTGGATTAACATGTGCTAAACTGCTAATGACAAACAACGAGATAACGTAACCTTATATAATTAATTTTTTGATTGTAGGAAACAATTATTGCACCAACTAAACTCAGTAATTTTTCTCTGCTAATCCTTGATCTTGTGTGAAATAGATAGTCTATATCACTGATTGATGGTTCGGTGTGACATATACGTACAAGCAGTTGAACTTTGGTATCTCAAACATCGATATCTCGAATACCATGGATATGTTGAAGTGATTTTGAAGTCCCAAACACTTATTCTTTAAGTATTTTACCCTTGTTATCTCAAAACCTTGGATATCTGGAACTTTTTCTCAGTCCCATTGAGTTTGAGATAACAAGATTTGACTGTATAAGCATGTCACTGCCTATTGAAAGTCCAAAGTATTGACAGATTTGTAATTATTTCAAAACTTTAAAAAGATTGACTTAAGGAGGTTGGATCCTGCTGTCAAAAGTAATGAGAATTTTTTATCAAGTGTTTTTTTAGAATCTACATACCTAGCTAAATCAAAAATCAAAACAAAAAATGGGGGTCACTTCTTTTAGTGCCATGGAGCATATAGTATGGCCTTTCTGCACTGTAACTACGTCTAACACAAAAATAAATTTTTCCAAGTTTTTCCTCCAATATTTTTTTATTATGGGAAAAAGCACAGTCCAATTTCATCTTGTCAATGAATAGACACATTAAAATTTGTGACAACAAAAAAGGTTCAAACTACTTCGCATGGTCAATTATTTGATCTTTCTGCACTCAAAAATGTCATTTTTCTGGCATTAAAAATTTAAGAAGTAATAAAATCATTTGAAAGTAATGACATTTTACTGAGAAGAAATGGTTAAAAGTAACTTTTATATATATATATATATATATATATATATATATATATATATATATATATATATATATATATATATATATATATATGTATATATATATTCAGGAAATAAAATTAAAAGTGGGGGTCTTTGTTGTTAATTTTTAGATATTACTAAAATAGTGTTAATTTTAAGCTTAAATTGGGGCTATTTTTTTCTGGATTTTCACAATATATTTGCTATATTTGTCAAATATGATGATAGAATTCATGACAATTTATTTAATATACAATTTAGGTCCAGCATAAAACAGTTCATGGCACAAAAAATAACTCTGTGTGCAGGCTGCATTGGAAATAGGAATCCAAACTAAACAAAACTTTAAATACTTCAAAAGACATTGATTGATTGTATGTTGTTTTACATCCCATTCCAGAATTTTTCACTCATATAGAGACGTTACCATATGCCGGTGAAGGGCTTCAAATTTAGACATTAACTCAGCGCTCAGGGCCATTCAGAAGTAAGGAATTCTTTATCGTGCCAATGCCTACCATGACACGGGACCTTGGTTTTTAATGTTTCATCCAATAGACCCGTGACTTTCACTTCTAGTGCGAGTGCCTGGTGAAGGAACAGTCACTACCTATGTTTATGTCTTAGGTTCGATGCAGCGCAGCGAACAAGATTCGAACCCGGGCCTCCCGATCACAAAGAGAGCACCCTACCACTAGGCTACCATGACCGGTCTCTTCAAAAGAGAAAAAATGAACATTTTCTTTTAAAAAAAAAAAAACTTCTGGCACAAAATATAGTTCCTCACTTACTGCTTTTGGTATCAAATTTAATCATAGGGTTTTAACTGAATATAGTTTAATTGGCATTGTAGAATCCAAATTTATTGTAAGAACTAAAACATTTAAATATGCAGAATTTTGAAATAGAGGTCAAGACAAAAATCTGCTCAGAAGCTCAGGAGGCTTGACAGGAGTGAACCTATTTAAATGAGCTAAATATATCAATTAATGCATATTTACCTGGTGATTATGCCACAAATTTTGAGAAAGTCCTCAAATAAAGTTTGAAAGTTGGTTTCTGAGATGGAAGCATTCACTTCAATTCCTTCTCTTAACACAAGTTCCAGTTTTTGTTGAAACTCCTCAAAGTGACATGAACATCTGTTATAAATTATTAAATGAAAATATTATATATTTCCACAAATAAAATATTCTTATATGTGAATGAATATATTTTTTATTTCACAAAAACTGCATGATTTGAACAAACCTGAATCTATACTACCTGAAGATGCTTTATTCATATAAAAATGACTTATCACAGCTTTGCTGTTCGTGAGCATGTCCAGAAGAAGATTTTAAAAATTTTTCCCTAATCTCTACATATTCCTATGTAAAATTCGATCACCCATTATGGCCCCACCCTACCCCTAGGAGTCATGATTTGAAGAAAACTGAATCTACACTATGTAATATAGCTTTCAATTAAATTTCATCTTTTCTGGCCCAGAGGTTCTTGAGAAATAGATTTTTAAAAGATGACATTCAATTTTCACTACATGTGTACTTCTTAATTATCTTCCATTGAAAGAGGGCTTGGCCCTTCATTTAACAAACCTGAATCCCTTTCAGCATGGGATGCTTTGTGGCCAATTTAGATGAAATTGGTAGGGATGGGTGTCGCCAAAAATTTTGTATTGTGATATATCACAATTTTTCCCCCAAAATATCTTATTTACACGGGAATTTTTACTACAATTTCAAATGAAATTTTACTACAATTTCAAATGAATTTCTACAATCATGATAATTTTTCTTACAAATATTCTGTAAAAACATAACTTCACCTTTTTTTTCATTTTTATTTATATAATATAAAGCATGTTTGGATGCCTCAGTTTACCATGTTTACATATAACTTTTTTCAAAATTTTTTAGACTTAATTCCTGTAATTTTTATTTAATAGTTCAAAGAAATAAATGAATAATTTTTGGAATTTATAATTTTATATGTACCAAATACCAATATTTTAGTCTCCTTATCACTATATATATCATGCAATAAAAAATCACGATATACCGGTCAGTACACCCATAAAATTGCGCATCCCTAGAATTTGGTCCAGTGGTTCTGGAGAAAAAGATGAAAATGTGAAAATTAAGTTTATGACAACTACAAGATGACTTCACAAAACCGACAAATTTTTATCTAAAAAGCTCACTTGTTCAGCTCAAGTGAGCTAATAAATAGCAAACTTTGTGAAAACTTGCATCAAAATAGCTAAATAAAGCTACTTAAAGTAGCTAAATAAAGCTACAGTACTTAGCTAAATAAAGCTATATACAGCGATTTTTTTCTACCCATTGGGAAAGGGTCCAGTACCGATTCAATTGGGAAAAAAGCATCGAAGTAGAACAAACTTACAAAGGAGAATTTTCTGTCATTTAAACAAATGAAACGTATTTTCCGTTTATTCCAGCCTCATATCCTATTACTCCGTGTTTTAAAGAATAAACAACAAGTATTTATTGTTTTTCATATCAATGTCCCTTAATTGTTTTCGCATTTTTATGCTTTCAATTTGTCAAAATGTATGACACTATCCTGCCTACACCACAGGTCAGTCTGAGGTCCCGCCATATTTCAACTAATCTCTACTTTGGATTTAAGCAGAAGTGAAACAATTAGTCAACTTGTACAATGTTTCATTTAAAAAGAAATACGATGTCATCGTAGTCTGTTGCTTGGCAGTTGAATTGGGAATTTTTAATCTCAAAATTGGGAAAAATTAACATTTTTTGGCTTTGGGAATGGTACCGTTTATCAGTACCAGTTATATAAGGAAAAAAAACGCTGATATACATGTAGGTAATTCAAGCTATGTACATGAAACTAGCCTAAATGTAGTGATAGCAAAGGGCCTGATCAGGTCCAGTCCAAAGACTATTTCTACCTATGTACTACCTATGTAGCTAGTTATATCTAACTAAGTACAGTGGTTCCCGTTTTATCGAATAGTCAAGTTGTCAGCCTAGTTTTATCTGAATAGCCGAAAATTAGAATAGCCGATTGCTCCATACCGAGTCCAAAGATAGATGTATAGAGCTACATGTATTGATAATACATCGTAGCAAATTTCAAGCTTGCACTTTCGTTTTCTTTTGACATGTTTACTTAATGACTTCACTAAAAATAATTTATTTCACTTACTTATGAATTTAATATGAATTTTTTTCAAATAAATTGACGTATAGAATATATTCTTTGATAGTTATTGCCATCTTTCTTCAGCACATGTTTACATTCCTTCTTCGATGGTCGCCATTTTGGAAACGGAAGTAGTCTAAATGCTTGACTAATAACCATAAACTATTTTTCCCTGGATAGATTGTAAATTAAAAATAAACAAAAATATTAAATATATGTAATTGTTTTGTTTTATTTGTTTCTTTAATACGGTTACGTATTTTATACTGTGTTTGAGTTTACCAGTCTCGTTCTTGTCTGCTGAAGAGAGATTTTGAGAGCCATGTGGAGAAAGATGGTATGAATTTTGAGACGTATTTTTATAGAACGGGCCATTTGTGATTTTTACCATAAATTTTGCACTGAAAAGTGAATAAATATTAAGCCAATTGACCAAGTTAAACGATTGAATAGGCGTATTTCATTATCCAAGCAGATTGTCATACACAAGCTAATCAGTTCAATAATTAAAATTTCACGCAGAAAAAATTGCAAATAATTGTCATAATTAACAAGTGCATCATTGAACCCAAGCTGATCACCACAACTGTAATCAAAACATCTCTATTTACTATGCCCACTATTGACACAGGTAAGGTGCCTGTGTGCGTCCAGCCGTAACTAATCCCCTCATTGTCGTACTCAAGCCAGTCAAGGTAATTGGTGTCAAACTGTGTAAACAAAGGCTTCACATACGAAGTTGGAGGTGTGAACAAGGTGCTGATTATCAAAAAACACTATGATAGTCCAAATTTTTGTATCGGATAAAACGAAATTCCAATATTTTCTCATCAGAATATCAGGTGAAATTATTAATAAATATATAAGAAATGGTTTTGTGCTCTGATATTATATTGAAATAGCCGAAATATTCGTTAAACCGCTATCCGATAAAATGGAAGCCACTGTATTTAAACCTACTCCAGGTAGCTTTTTTTACCTACCTCTTGCTTTACTTGCATTTTGTGGTCAAAAAGCACAATATAGTGAGTACTAAATATCTTGATACAGTAACACTGACAAAGAACAAAACAAAATTTGCAGACAAAAATTTCTTTCAAAATTAGCAATTTTGCATCAATAACTACAACCAGTTTCATTTTCTAGATAAAGATCAAAGCCATGTAGTAAGAAGCCTAAAATGTCTTACATGTACAAATCCGTAATTTGTACGAATTTTTAAACTTGCCTTCATGTATTCTTAAATAAAAAGGATTATGGAATGATTTTTATGCATTTCCTCTCCATTCTCCACCCTCCTAAAGTTTTCAAATTTACAGCTGGAAGTTTGCTGTGCAAGTGCAAAAGATGATAAACAAGAAGTCTGATCTGTTTCAAAGCTGCACCTTAATTATCAATTGTTCTTATTTTCAAAGACAGGTAAAAGTACGTTGAAGTAGCTACCTGGAGTAAGTTTAAATACATAGGTAGCTATTAATAGCTACTTAGGAAGAAATAGTCTTTTGACTGGACCTGCTGATAACAGTACATACTTACAATCCAATTCCATCAGGTATCTTTTCTTTTGGGACAAATTCATTACATATCTCTCGATTTCCAATAAAATCTCTCTGTAAATCTTCAAACGATATGAAATTCGCTTCAATTGAATTACATACATTTAAAATTTCCGCCACAGTATTCAATTCTTCTGATACTATATCCTTTCTAAACATTTGATATAGCCCCCATTCGTATACAACATCCATTGCACTAGCTCTGTACAGAAGTTTTATTCCTAATTTGTTTATATCAGATTCCTTCCACTCGGAAGTGCTACCTGGAAATGAATCATTTTCGCCTGAAAGTTTAGTTGATGATATAGTTGGTGAACTCTCAGATGTAGTTGTTAACTTTTCAGTGTGTCTGTCGTGTGGTGATGAACTACTCGAAGTGTCACACATATCAGAATGTGCCCTTTTCCCCCTTTCCATCTTGCAAAACCTCAAAACTTGACAAAAGTTGTTAGATGAGTTAGATGATGAAATATTTTATGTCATCCCGATCCCGATTGAATTTCTGGAATCAGGACATCTCGCCCCCAAGACAAGTCGCCCCCAACACTATTAAAGACAGCTCGCCCCCTTTTTAGGACAACTCGCCCCCACTCAAGACAGCTCACCCCCATCATAGAGACAACTCGCCCCCATTATTTTTTCTTGTGAATTGCAAGGGAAAAAATAACTGTTATTCAATTATGTACGGTGGCTGGTATAGGACATGGTATGAGAATTTTTTTTTATTAATTCGTGGCCAGGAAATAAAAATTCGTGGGAACGAAATAAAATTCGTGGCCACGAAATAAAAATTCGTAGGAACGAAATAAAATTCGTGGGAACGAAATAAAATTCGTGGCAACGAAATAAAAATTCGTGGCCACGAAATAAAATTCGTGGGAACGAAATAAAATTCGTTGCCACGAAATAAAGTTGTGCTACATAATGCCATTTTTAGCTTCTTCTGTTTTATGTCATTCAAGATGAACGAACTGATATATAATTATCATTCAATTGGAATGAGCCAACGGGATATTTGTGTAATGAGCAATGAGATTCGATGCTGATACGTAGAATATGTTTCACATGAGAAGTTATACTCCTAACATGCTCAGATTTTGTGTCTTTATTTCATTACAACTATGTGACAGGATTCAATAGAAAATATGAGAAAACAGCAAATAAGCCCTTAAAGTCATTAATGTTCGGGTTGCCTTGACTAATATCAGGAACAAAACTTACCAGAGTTATTATAGTTAAGAAAAATACATAACTTGACTAATATAAAATTGTCCCTGTGTATTATATCATCTAAAAAAATCGTGACTTCATGCTGTGTCATGTAGCATGATGACAAGCTGAAGAGAACACTTTCATTTTGTTTTATCATTTGGTTAGGATGTCATTTTGGATGAAGTATGATCATTGAACTGATCCAGAACAGTCAATTGAATCGGCTTGAATGTGTTGTTTTAAGTTTTGGGCACAGAGCAAAAGAGAGAGTTTATTTTTATTTATTTATTTTTTTTTTTACATCTAGACTATGTTCATAATGCATGTACCAATTCTCAGCTGCTTCTAATATATATACAAATTAAATATATGGGTATTTATAATGATGTTCATCAGTGCGGGCCAGATACAATGATCTAAATGTGTCTGTGTGTCATGGGACAGACCCTCACTAGGTCCATAGCAAATTATCATTTTAACACTATGTAAATAAATGTGAAATAAAAATTCGTGGCCACGAATTTTATTTCGTGGCTACGAATTTTTATTTCGTTCCCACGAATTTTATTTTGTTCCCACAAATTTTTATTTTGTGGCCACGAATTAATAAAAAAAATTCTCATACCATGTCCTATACCAGCCACCGTAATTATGTATATTTTATATGCAAATTTAAATCATAATCAATATTTACGATTGTAGTAGCTAGGTTATTTTTTTTTATGCATTCACATCATATTTTTGTATAAAAACACAATGTATGCATAAAAGATTTATCATAATATCCATGCTTTCCATTTCCATTACAGTAATTTACGGTTTTTTCTCTCAACCCTCGTAATCGATGATTCAACATGTTCAAGGTTTTGGTCTGTCCGTCCGTTTGACTGTCTGTTTTTATGTTAATCTGCTTGTACAGCATATCCTAGAAGTGGTGTAAATTAGATGTGGATTCAAAAAAAAAAAAAAAAAAAAAAAAAAAAAAAAAAAAAAAAACACTGAAAGACTTTCTAGAAAATATAAAGTCAACATTGTTTTTTTTTTTTTTTTTTTTCGAAACTTAATATCATCAAAACGTACGACTTTTCTACATTTTATGCAACCATTCCTTCGAAAATAAATTCATAAATTAAAAACTAGGTTTTATGACAACATAATTTAGATAATTGCTTCAATCTTCAATAAAAATGGTGCTTGGAACTGAATTTCACATCTTGTGATTGGTCATCAGCAAAATTAATTGATGAAAAATCCCTCTGATTCTACACAAAGGTACTCTGAAATTGATATTAAAAAAATGCTGGAATTTCTCATTGACAACATTTATGTAGACCAAATCTCCCATCAAACTGTTGTAATTTCGCTGGGCACTAATTGTGCTCCTTTATTAGCCGACCTGTTTTTGTATTCATATGAAGCAGAAATTATTCAAAACTTCTACACGAGGAGGAGAAAACACTTGGTGTTGCCTTCAACTCGACACACAGATATATCGACAACGGTTTATTAATTAATAGTTATTTATATTCATATGCCGACTCGATATACCCCAGTGAACTAAAATAAAAGACATCACAGAATCCTACATCTTTTTGTTTCATATACCAAAAAACTGAAAAAAAAGTGTTGTATACAATCGAATGAAATTTTAAGGCAAAAATCTAATAAATAGGGGCATAAGTATGTAAAATTTTGTTGATATTGCTGTTGTCCTGCCACTCCACAGGCACTGTTGTCTCTTCTCTCCTTCACTTTTGTGGTAAGTCAACAAACCAATTACATGTAGCTGCCTTTTTTAAGTATTACGTAAAGTTGGCTGTGAAGAGTAACAGTTCTACAAAACAGTTTTAAATCTGAAAAAAGCTCCCTGTTATCATGTTTTATAAGGCAAATTGAGAACATCTTTTCTCTTATATAAATTGTTATAAAAACTTAGAGAACATAACGTAATGCAATCTAAATTGATCAACTACATGCATGTTCAAAAACACAATATGGTTGTGCAATGTCCTAGTTAAGGTTGCAGCAGTATTCTCCAAAGCAAATTGTGCTAACGTTTGTAAAAAGCAGATTAACGGATTAAATTATTTAATAAGCAGAATTGGTAAGCTAGTGTTTTTAAGTAAGTCAAAACTTCTTAATATACAGGTTTATGAAATTAGAAGCTTGATTTGAGAAGTATTAATTTTATCTTCTAAAGGAATTGAGAAAGGCTTTGATGTAGGTTTCGATGTAAGAATTGAAAAAAAGATCGTTTTGGTGGAGTTGAGAGATGATCGAAATTGTGATCTTTGTTCCTCTAACAGTAAAGAAGATCGCGGATGAACCATTACCTAGCTTTTACTACAGGGGTACGTACTTTCTTAAAAGGAGAATGAAAAAGAAAAAAAAACTAGTACCAAACTTGTACCAAATTTTATTGTCATCAATCGATCAATAATAACAACACTAGATATGTTGTGTATATACATGTCTTACTCTTTCATCACGATATATAGACAGAAATTTACCCAGTATATGATAATTTACGCTGTTTATAAAGAAGCAATGAAGACAAAACACCAAAATAATAATTAAAAAAAAAAAACATTTAAAATACAAACATGTATAATACAAAAAAAAAATGTTATATATGATAACATAATGAAGGAAAAAAACATGCAAAAACCTTTAAAGGTAACAGATACAGAATCTCCATAATACAAAAATACAAAATATTGACCTTGTAAAGGGTGAACAGCCGTATACCGATACAGATATACAGAGAGAATTATAATTCTTTATACATATATTCATCAACATTTTAAAATCTTATCAAACAGAGCTGCAATGAAGAGCAAAGAATTTACAATAGTATTAGGATTGTTTATCAGTAATTAAAAAGTTTATTTTCCATTTAAACAATTTTTCAATATTGTTGAAGCAAACTGTGTGAAATATGAGTGTAAAGTAAAGGCGGTAGTAGAGAGTTTGGCTGTATAAAGATCTTTTAGTCCAAAGAGATATCTGTTATCACGTCGTCATATCAACATTATCTGTCGTCACTTCCAGTCTGTTGTCTGTTATCACATCCACATTGTCTGTAGTCACATCTGGATAAAGTCCCAAATTTTCTATCATCTGGTCGACATTATTTTCTTCCTCGCTGCCTTTGTTATAGCGAATAAGAATTACCACAACGGAGAAAAGATTCAAAGCAAAGGACACGCAGGCAATGACAAAAGAGTATGGAAACCATGTGGACCTTCCAAGGCTTATGATAAATAGTCCAAGAAAACGAATGAGCAAGGCAAAGTCCATAGTAACTGTAAATTTAAAGTTAAAATTCATATTTGAAATGAAACAGTAAAGATAACGAACAGTGGTCGATCTCAAAATTTATAAACAACACAAATGGGTAAACAGGGCATTAAACACGGACCCCCCTGAAATTCCAAAGGTGGGATAAGATGTATAGGAGGAGTAAGCATCCCCTGTTGACCGGTCACACCCGCCGTGAGACCTATGATCAAGTAAATGGAACATCCCGCAGTTAAATTTAGTATACAAATAAAACTTAACAATTGGTCAGAAAGAAGTCAGTCAAAATACGATCCAGTGATAGCTTATATTTGCTTATAAGGTCATTATAACGACCATAGAATTTACGAAATGCTGAATTTAAACGAATTTAAATCTAAACCATATTACCTTAACTTATTTGTGAGTAGTCACCTCAGTTTAAAAATTGATCGTACTCAGAGCATACTTTTCAGTAGCGCATAAGTTAGGAGACATAAAGAGCATATACAGATGATAGCGAACTATTTCTATACATAAATGTGGAAAGTCGACGATGGAAAAGCCGAAGTCATCTCGTTTGTTATACAATTTAGTTGGTAGTTGGCCCTTATCTTCTTTAGTTAGTAAGACATCCACGGTGGCATGGTGTTCTCTTTTATTTCAAGTTATTTGGATACATCGAGTTGATATATGATTGATTGTTTACTGTTTTACGTCTCATTCGGGAATTTTTCAGTCGTATAGAGAAGTACATATACAGGTGAAGGGCTTCAAATTCAGACCAATGCTCGGAACTCCGAGTCATTGGACAGTGAGGGTTCTTCATCGTGCCAATGCGTGCCGTAACAAAGGGCTTCAGTTTCAAGGTCTCATCCGAAAGACGCTTGACTTTTAGTTCTCGTGCCGGGCGCTTAGCGAAAGAACATTCACAACTATGTTCACGTCTTTGGTTTGACGATGCGCAGTGAACGGGAATTGAACCCGCGCCTTCCGATCAATCGACATATGAATGAAATTATGAAAATATTTATTGTTAATTGATAAAACGTCGTTGATATATCTGAAAGTTGATTTGAAGGCCACGGTAAGTATTTCTTCTTCTCATGTAGTTTTTAAAATAAATTATGCCTCATAGGAATATCCATCATAGAAATTAACATTTTGTACATTGATATTTGATATTGCATGTACACAAAAATCATTGAATTTTAAGAGTTTAAGAAAAGTTGAGTCTTAAAAAAATTGCAAACCTGCCACACACAGAAAGACCCCTCCTGAGATACATGCTAGAGGTTTAACCATTACGTGTTTAGATACTCTTTTGCTGTTCAAAATGAAGACCAGACAGCCGGCTCCAGACAACAAAACATCAAGGACACAATTAATCTGAAGATCGATCCAACCATGTTCTAAAAAAATATTATATATATATATATATATATATATTATATATAATATCTAATATATATATATAATAGTATCTTATAAAACTTATGTCCAAATAACTGTATCTCACTTCCATTCTCAATGACCGTGTAGTGTAGGGCAGCACCGGCATCGAAAACAAGTTTATTGACTTGCCTAAATAGCCGAGCGGTCTAGCGCGGTTCCTGTACTGCTAGGAGACAGATTCCGTAGGTCGAGAGTTCAACCCCGGGCTGGGGGCGGAAGTGGGTATCCTTATAAAAGTGAATTTGTTTGTGCTTTCTATAATAATATTTCTTCCCTTAGGGCAGTTGTGTTAGTTTAAGAGTTGTTGTAAAATGTGCTTTATAAATAAAAAATAATTTTATTACAATTACACACGTACACATGTATATTGGTAACGATCCTCTAATAAAACTGATTTCCAAATAACTGTATCTCACTTCCATTCTCAATGACCGTATAGTGTAGAACAGCGTCGCGAGAATTCAATTGGCATCGAAAGCAAGATTATTGACTTGCTTAGATCATGAGATAGCCGAACAGTCTAGCGTGCTGTTCCTGTACTGCTAGGAGACAAATTCCGTAGGTCGAGAGTTCAACCTCGGGCAGGCGGCGGAAGTGGGTATCCTTATCAAAGTGAATTTGTTTGTGCTTTCTATATATATATATATATATATATATATATATATATATATATATATATATATAACTCTGATTTAAGGACTAGGGAGACCAGACCATTATATATGGCTTAAGGAGACAATATACAAATTTTTTAAATTTGCTTTTTTCTAAAAAAAAAATACCAGATCAAAGATCTATAGAACACCATTTAGTCGACTCTTGCTTTATTTTTTCATAATAAATGCCTCCTAAAAATATATGAAAAAAATGGTCTCCTTAATATTTTATGTTTCTCTCATATGACTTAAGGAGACCAGTGTATATTTTTTATAAATATAACTTGTGGTTTAAGTAGACCATTTTTCTTTCATAGTAATTTCACTTATTATGCATTAATTAACATATTGTTTCCAACCAGAATAGTTGCGGATGGTCATTAGTCAAGGTCAGCAGAAAGATATTTGTGCTAATGTGACTCAACATGATCAGTACAAAACGTTGAATTAAACTAAAGTTTATCATTGCACAAGTGACTTAAACAGAGAGTAGTTGCCCCAGTGGCACAGTGGTTAGAGCGTCTGCTCTAGAGTAGCGAAGTAAGGAGTTGATCCTTACGTCGCAGGTTCAAATCCCACTGTGGGATGGGGAGACCGGTCCTTCAGATGAGACCGTATAAATCGAGGTCCTGTGTCGCAGTAGGTGCTGGCACGAAAAAAATCCCTCGATGCTCAATAGCCGTAAGTGCCGATATAGGACAAAATTTGCAGATCTCCACCGGCATGTGGTGGTGTCTCCATTTGAGTGAAAAAATCTTGAGAGGAATGTTAAACAACATACAATCAATCAATATATAGAGAGTATAAGCCCAGAGTAGCTTGTTCTGATATCCACATTTAACTCTCAATGCTGTCGCCCACGTGGTGCAGTGGAAAGAGCCAATGCTCTAGAGTCGTGGAGTTAGTTGATCCTTTTCTCACATGTTTGAATCCCACTTTGGGACGTAGAGACCGGTCCTTCGTACAAACAGAGGTCCAGTGTCGCAGTAGATGCTGGCATGAAAAAGATCCCTCACTGCCCATTGGCCCTGAGTGCCGAGCATAGCTCATTTGCAGCTCTCCATCAGCAAGTGTTGGCATCTCCATATGAGTGAAAAATTCTCCAGAGGGACGTTAAACAACAAACAAACTCTCAATGCCCAAAACAGTTTAACCTAAAAGTGAATGCAGACATAGATTATTCTTTAAACCAAGTATAGTATACTCCATATTGTTTTGTTGAGGACACAAAGTTCACAGTGGACTTCAAGTAGTTTTTCCTGCTATTTATACCAAGCTTCTTTTAAACCATATAGTCACTGAGTGCATTCGCTTTCCAACTAATTGATGAAGTTCTGACCTATGCCTATATTTGTTTAAATTCTTTCTGATTTAAGAATACATTTGACCAGTTGAAACCAAGAGTACATGTACTACATAAAATTTCAAGGTTGTGATTAAGATTCAGTAAAAGTTATGCCCCATCCAGTATAGCAATATGTGGATGCCATGTTCAATATACATATTTGCTATCATTAAACTTGCAGAGACCATGAATCAAAATAATTCAAATGCTTAAAAATCATTTTATTTTTACTGCTAGTCAAAATACAGTCACTCAAGCATATCCTTTGTTAATTTGAAAAAAAAAATGATAGTTTAACATTTATTATTAATACCATACCAAAGCACTTCTTACATAATCCAATGATTCATGCTGTGATTTTACCTATTTAGATGTTTCTTATTTACAGTTCAGTATACATGATATACCAGTACAATGTGACACTAACCTAGTATCAGCTAAATGGATCATTACTATTCTGTTTTTAAGAAGTTTGCAGGGTAAAAAGTATAATAAAATAAAAATGTTGATACATTTATTGATTGCATATGCTAAAAACTTTTATAAAATATCAAACATTGTATCATAACAGCTTTTACAAATGAATTCAATACATTCAAAGGTACAAAAATCAAATTATTTTCATCCACAGTTTTATCATATTCAGTTGAACAACAGCTACATCTATTATATAAAATGTATGGTAGTTGGCACTGATGGTATATATATCCTGAGCAAAGAAAAAACACTTCTATAAATGTTATCTACTAGTAAGGCAAAGTCTCACTCAACAAACACTCTGGTAATGTATATCACCTGGATCCAAAATCTATGCAAGTTGGTCTGGGTTAGATTTAACTGCTCAATAACCCTGAAAATGTATGTTACATCCAGCATCAGAAGCAGGATACATCATCTATGTTTACTGATCACCAAAGAGTATATTGTTACTTTGAATGAACCTTCTCTAAAAAACTGGTCATTAATCCAGAAAATCTAAGTCAAATCAAGGATTGGTACCCTGAAACATTTACATGTACATACATCATCTTTGCAGGTTTGTTCAACATAGAGTTTATAATTACATGAGAATAGGACTGCTCAAAACACTTAATCTTGTGGAGTCCCCCATGTGGCGCAAAGGAGAGAGTTTGTAATCTAGAGTCGCGAGTAAGGATTTAATCCTTAAGTCTCAGGTTCAAATCCACTGGGGTTGTGGGGACCAGTCCTTCAGATTAGACCATATAAACTGAGGTCCCGCCTAGCAGTTGATGTGGGCACAAAAAAGATCCCTTACTGCTCAAGGCCCTGAGTGCAAAGTATAGGTCAAATTTTGCAGCTCTCCACCAGCAAGTAGTGGCATCTCCATATGGATGAAAAATTCTTGAGAGGGATGTTAAACAACAAACAAACAAAAACAAAAAAAAAACACATGAGGAAAATGTAGATCAGGTCAAGCATCTGAAGTAAATCTGTTAATGTGCTTTATTCCATGCAAGTTTGTCCAGGTAGAGCTTAGGAATGAACCTTGCTCCTTAAATTTTAACTGGGATGACAATGCTAGGTATATAATAAGAACTCATCTAGACTGTCCAGAAAAGCTAAAAAATATTTAGCAATTTCTTACTTGCATGATTTAAAAAAATCTGCAATCTAACATTATTTAAAAAAAAATTCAACACATTTTCTAATTTTCAACAAATTCAATGCACTATGAGACGATTTAACATTTCTTAACCACATACACTGTACTTAAAGTGCAATATACATGCATTATACTGTATGTTAAATCTTTACAGTTTTCTTCAAGTACTCTAATAGTATATGAAATATGAAGATTACCAACAGTGATCAAGCTTTAAAGTCCATTGAAACAATACATAATTAGAGCAGAGCAAACACAGACCTCTAAAAACACCAGGTGCAATGGAGGAGAAAGCATTTCCTGCCATGTGCTCCTTGACATGACTGGGCAAATGGAAAAATCCACAAACAATTCAGTGTAAACAATTTTGATGAAAAACATTAGTCAACATTCAACTTAATGATCGATTGAATTTGCTATAACAATTAATTTACACGTAAGTGTACACACATGTATGCATACTAGATGAATTATTTCACAATATCCAAAATTGGACAATAATAGTTTCTAATCTAGCTAGACAACAGGAAATTTTCATTATTACTTACATTACATGAAACTATTGAAGTCTGTGAGCTACAAATTATATCTAAAAATTATACACATTTTAACAAGTGTTTACAGTTTAGTGTATTTATTATACACAAATGATGACTTAGTAATTATGACATACTAGTAAAGTCCACAGATTGACTTCCAGATTTCAGCTCAAAGGCTTGAAGATTTTTAGTGGCTCTTTCATCATTTTTTATTCACTGAATATTTTCATTTTTATTTTCAAGATGCTGTTTTTGTTGAGGTCTTTTAGCAGTTTGATGCAATCCAAGAACTCCAAGGGCAATTTAAGAACTCCTGAATTTCTTTCTTACCTGGAAAAAATAAAAATTTAAAAGTTTAAAATATATTCAACTTACATGAAGAAAACTAGTAAAACTAGTGATAATGTAATAGACCTTTCAGATGTTCCAAAGCAGCTACATGTATCTAATTAAAAAATATAAAGTTTGAAGTATTTAGAGTCACCTGTACTCTGAACATGGGATATATGTATTTGACAGACAGATGAATGAATAGACTGATCACTATAGAGCACCTTAGTCTTAATTTTCAATAATCTTTATATTAGTGAAAATCAAATAGGAACTAGAGTGTTTCAAGGAATGTATATGTCACCTGCTAGGTATCGTTATTAAAGAGGTAAATAAATCTAAGAGTGGTCAGCTATTAATTTAATATTAGCATGGAGGTTCATGCATTTGCCTGCAAGGAAAAAAAGGATCCAAAAGTAAAAGACTGGGATAGAATCTGGCAATCAAAGAAAATATGGTTCCC